CCGCCCCCCAATTCCCGCCCCCCCCCCCAGCTGGTTTTGGGGAAAGGGTGAGTGTATTATGTGAGAAAATAGAGTAAATGGGGGTATACTGAAAAAGAAGAGGGAGGTTAAATCATCTCTGTCTTTACCACTGGTGCAACCACTGCTGGAATACTATGTCCGTGCCTTTCATCTACTGGATGATCAACATGCCACTTGAGACTATCTTGAAGTGACCTAAGTATACAGGCAATTCTGTTGCCCCCTCTGGGTGCATAAGTGCCTCCATTATAGGAATAGGAATGCCTCTGTATCTCTGGAGAGCAGTTTGTAGTCAGTGCAGAGCCAAAGGTCAAGTCAAAGTTCTTTTATCCTTCATCCTTCTGACCCCCAAGTATTCAACAGGGTTCACAGTCTAGTTTCAGTTACTTCAGGGGTGAATTTCCTGACCCTTTATCTGATTTCAGTTAAAAGGTTCAAAGGTTTGGAAAACAGGTCTTACAGTCAAGAACTCAAGAGTTCAGTTTATTCAGGTTTAAAGAAGATGCAGAAGTGACTTGATTTATGTGTAAGTGTCAGAATTTGAGAATAGAAGGTGTTTTCTCCTAGCATACAAATTATTTGGGTAATGAGATCAGACTAGATGATCACAGTGGTCCATTCTGGCCTTACAACCTATGAATACTGCAAATCCTTTTTTAAGCCACAGAATTGCCTCCTTTCCCCTCTCTGCTTCCCCACACTGAGCAGTATCTGCCTCTGTGAATAGCTCTACTGAAATCAGTGTAATTCAGGGTGGCAAACTCTGGCCTTTAGTTTTTACTGTGCCCTGATCAAAGAAAACTCCATTGGACTTTAATGAAGGTTTGGCCCAAGTACATCCTCAGTGAAGCCACATTGAATTAGTGATTAAAGATGGATGTAGTTCACAGGGTGCATTTACATGGCAAGAGCAGGTACTTGGGTTGTGTTTGAAAGTGGAACACTTGCGATGACTGAGGAACAAGTATGCACTAGCAGAGAGCAGTAGTCTGCACTCTTTTGGTACTTCTTACAGTTGATTCTTATTTTCACTTGTTAGGTGAAAGCCAAGAAAAACTTCACAGGTAGGTATTAAGTAGAGGACATGAGGTTTGGGGGTAATGTATGTTTTACAATTTCTTCATCATGGAATTGTTGGCAGACTGTCTTATAGGTAACTCAGAACTACTCCCTCATCCTACAGACAACCAACATATTCAACAGGGTTCTCATCCCTACTTTTTATTACTGTACGGGTGAATTGTCTGATTCTTTATCTGGCCTCAGTTCAGCAAAGCACTAAGTATGTGCTTAAGTCCATTTGATGTCAGTGGAATACTGAGTACTTTCCTGAGCTGGGACCTCAGTATATATACATTTCCACCCCTGCCCAAATGTCATAGCCAAGTTAAAATTAATACATAGGCAATGCACAATTAATTTGAGGCCCCATTGAGCTACTGACCTTTATTAAGTCATTCATTATGGCCTGAGATATTGTTAGGTGACCCTCTTCCTCTATCCAAAACTTAGTATTATCATCTACTATTTTAAGCTTGTTTACAGAACTGGAATAATGCACAGATATAAAAAGGTGATTACAGCATCATGTGTCTGAGCTTTTAAGTTCCTTTTCCATGAAAACAAATCAAAGAATGT